CCATCTTTTTAGATCTAGATTTTCATAATATCAAAAGCCCCAAAAACAATAAATAAAACGAGAAGAAAGAGTCGCTGAATTTAATGGAGAGTCGCCGGTGTTTGAGTTTACGTCCAGATCTAAAGTCAACGAGATCGAGCACAGTGGGTTAGACTAGCTGGTTTTTGATTTCGATTTCATGATGTGTGATGAGGTCGAAGTTGGAGCCTGGGCACCATTAATATTAATACTACAACGACTGAGATTTGACAAATCTTGTATTCAATTCTTGAAACCTTCAATTTCACCATGGAAGTCAACAATATCTTTTCTGATCATTGTCATTTCCTCTTTGTAATCTGTTTTAGAGGGTTGACTCCCATTTGACCCTCAAGTATCAATTACTCTCCCTATCCTCTGTTGCAACTCGTGCATATCAAACATGAATATTTTATCAATCTCTTTTTTGGACCAACTTTTTTCATAAAAAATTATATATGAGGCTAATATTTAAAAGTCATTTTAGATTATGTATTAGACTAGAGAGCATTTCTTTTGAATATTGGTATATTATAATATATATATATATATATATATATATATATATATATAAAAAAATAAACTATCACTATACAAAAATTAAACAAAATAGACTGTCACTATACAAAATATATACTACAAAATAGATTGTCACTATACAAAATAGATTGTCACTATACAAAAAAATATACAAAATAGATTGTCACTATACAAAAAATATATAAAATAGACATTTCGGGATATTAGATGTAATATGTTTGGACCGGAGGGCCATTTTGTGTCAATGGGCAAAAACATGAGCTATTAAAATTTTAAGTGGCTATAGTAAGTAGTTTTCTCGATAAATTTTGAGGAATTTTCAGAAATGACTATTGTTTAGTGGCTATTACCTTCTTATAGCTATCATATACATAATTATTTTCCGTGGCTATCTTTCAATTGTTATGGTAATGTATTCGATGTATTCGAGCTACCGTATTTATGAATACAGTAGCAAAAATCAGCTAAAAAATAGGGCAGTCCAGCTGTCAGCCGTTGTATTCACATGTATTCATACCATGCATTCATGAATACAACGTAATAATAGGTCTCTCAAGTTGTTTAATAACGAAAAGCTGCTAATTTAACGGGATACACTCCTAATATAACTCACCTAAATCAATTATAACACACAACATTATCAATCTAATTAATGAAAAGATTTATGAGACGCTAAACATAAAAAAATAGAGCATTCTTAAGAGTTTCAGTCCCTCTTTTTTTTCCTGATACAATTCAAGTTTTTTTTTTCCCTGACATTGTTCGAGGTTCTGCTTGAAAATGATACAAGTATCTACAGAAATATTTTGAAATTCGATTTTCTGTATATGAATACATCATGTATTTATGCCAAATATAACATGTAATAGTAACCTTCTGGCTGCATATTTAATAATAAACATAGTGCTTGTATTCTGTTGTATCTAACAGTTGTGTTTAATGTATTCAAGTTTATTTTTGTATTCACAATATTTTATTTATTCATAATACATGGTATTACTGCTTTATTGAGTATATATCATTGGTTGTATTCATTGATTTTCTATTTGTATTGAGAGTATTTTACTGTATTTTACTGTATTGTTATTTTAAATACAGATGGATACAGTTAGGTTTAAAACACAGATGAATACAGTTAGATTGAATGCATAACTAATTGATGAATAACATCAAAATGATAGAACTAACAATGTATTTAAAAATATTGTTGTAAGAACTCAAATACATATAAATACATCTAAATACAAGAAGAGAAACCCGTTGTAGAAACTAAAAAACAATGTATGCAAACTCGAATACATATAAATATATCTATAATTAGGGCCATTGCGTATTTTTGTTCTATTTTTGGCTTTAATGGTTGTTGATGAACCAACAAATACATGTTCCTCTTGAGTGATTTGCAAATCGAAAGATGGCCCTTCGAAATTGAATGATTTAGTAGGTATTATGTAGAAAACCTAACAATGGTGAATATTTTTTTTTAAAAAATGTTGAAGAGAAAAAGAAAAAGTTTTAACTGGCCAAAAACTTTAGTGGTGAGTGGTGAAAATCTGTGTTGATGATTTACGACTTGCACAATTTCATAGTTTTTGACAGAAGCAAGAAATCATGAATTAGAAGGGAAAAATTTTGGTGTCACGCCTCCACGTCATGTGGAATTGGGAAAGAACAATTTTGAAAAGAATGTTAAGAAAACTTGCAGGAAATCATGAAAAAGCTCACTGTTTTCATGGCTCAAGAGTAGTGATAACCATGGAAATCATGGAAAAGCTCGTCGTTTGTTGGAGGAAACCAGTTTTCTGGTCCATATAGGAAAGAATGAGAGAGATCGTGGAGGGAGAAATAAGATACTATGCGTGATTTTGGGAGAGAATAAACTGAAAGAATGAGAGAAAAAATATTAGACAACGTATTTAATGACTTAATAGTAGGAAGTGATCATAAATACATATTTTGCTATAAAAACTAAAAGGTAGATATAGAAAATAATATTTTAAAAGGGTTTTTATTTATAATAAATAGAGTGCAAAGCTTTGCTATAGGAGGTAAAATTTTCAAAAATTTTGCCTTGATTTTATTTGACCCAATTGTTCTTTTCGGTTGTAAAACTTGAACTTGTACCGGGTTATACCGAGTATAAATGAAAGGAGGCACAGTTGTTTTGGGTTGGCCGAATCATTTCTCATCCGTTCTCTCTTTCCCTCTTTCTATCTGATATATATATATATATGTAAGAAACCTCTAGAAATATAAAAGAAAGACATAAACTAAAATATTTCAGACAAAATTTTATATTTGCTGCTATAAAAGAAAGACATAAACTAAAATATTTCAGACAAAATTTTATATTTGCTACCATAAAAAGGAAGAACTTGAGTTAAAGCGTAAACGAAAAAGCAAAATGGGGCAAAAGAAAAGCTAACAAAGACATGTAAATTTTTCAATCCTTAGTTACAAGATAGTTTGCTGGGAAAAAATAAACAAAATTTAGAAGAATCCTACAACTTAAAGGAAATCAGCTTTGGGAGCTGTTCCCCTAAGGCACCGATGTATATCACCGGGAATTCTTGATTCATGATATCGAGTATTTGCACTTTAAATCATATAATTCGACCTTTAAAATAACTATCCGTGTTATTTCTACAAAAGTAATGGTCCAATTATTATGAGCCCAGAAGGAATTGGGCCATAGCCAACGCAAATATGAGATCCAGTCCTTAATGCCCACCCAATGCGGTGAACTGTACCCACGACTGCTCTGTTAAGTCAGCCGATAACAATACCCAAACGGGTAGGGATTATATCTCTATCTCTACTTGCCAGAGTATTGTACCGGACCTTCATACAATCGTGAGCTCGGCACAATTCATTATGGTTAATTCACAATAACCTATTTCCATTACTTTATTACTCCCACTTGGGTTACAGGCCCGCGTTACTGAGCCCAGTGTCACTCTACTTCCTGTGCTTTGTTTATAAAGTATGCACAAACATTTCTCACTACGGTGTGGGGCAATGCAGTATCACTTTGTCCTCTATGTTGAGAAAATCACATTTTCTTATCTCTGCTTTTGTACTTTTCTTTGATTCAAGAGTTTTGGAACTAATCTCTCTGCCTTCACAAAATAAGATTGTGCGTCCCTTTTTCTTCTACTTCTTCTTTTCTTATTTTTTTCTCTTTTCCCGCCCAAGATACCACCGTATCTCCATTCTCCGCCATACACCATTGTATCTGCCACCATCCCCTCTTTTTTTTTTTTCTTTCTCTCTTCTACTTTTTCTTTACCCAAGTAGAAATACTCTCCACCACCTTTTCAGTTGCAATGCCTAGTGACGGAGTCAGAATTTTGGTTAAGAGGTGTCAAAATATATAAAAGTAAATATAACAGAAAATTAATTAATGGGAGTCTATATATAGTATATATAATTTATATTTTTACCTACCTATTTTTTATATAATGACACCCCTTCTTATGAGGTGGCTCCGCCAATGACAATACTACATGTACTTCCCCCACCCATATATAGCCATATTGATGCCATTCACCAACTTCTACTAGCTAAAAAAATCTAGTGTTTCTGATTTATTTTTTGTAATATTTCATTCGTTGAACCAAAATGAATAAATGGTATAATTTGGCCTCTTTAAAATATTGTAGTATTTTTTTTCTTAAAGGAGTAATAATGCAGAAGTTGAAATCATTAGCTAATTTCTAAATATTTGCTTGTACCATGATTCTTGAATTTCACTTTATTTGAGTTGAGTTCTAGATGATACATATTAGTTTACTTAGCGTCAAATTATGAGCTTGATTTTTGTAAAATATTTCCCGGGTCTTTTGATAGAGGGAAGAGCATAGAATGGCCTAAGGATCAATAACTCACTATGAAGCCATTGATAAGTTACAGTGTATTGAAATTTGAAAGTGCTTTTCCATTTGGACAAAAATTTATTCGAAAGTTGACAGATTTTAACTGGCTAAAAAGTTTGGGATTTGCCGGCATCATTTTTCCGACGAGGAGTTTTTCCCCTACTTTTTAAAGGTGAAAATGATGGATCTTCTATGATGGTGTATGTGGTGATGAAGATCTCTCTCTCACGCGCACACACACAAAAAGAGTTGAAAAAAATAACGAAATAAGTGGAAATAAATAAATAAAATAACTTTAGACACGTGACGTGTGTACTATACATCATACAACAACACTTATTATGTGTTATCAAGGCGGTATTAAATTCATAAGAGGACATAATCGCCCGTAAACTTATGTCTTTTCTCTAAAGATTTAAATTTGTTTGTTTTCAATTTTAGATTAGTGACACTTGGACATAAAGTCAAGCTGAGGAAGTATTTAATAAAGGAAAGAAGAAAACGGAAAAACGAAACTAGAAAGGGAATGCTAAGGCACGATCCATTTGAAAAATAAGAAGTTTTTGAGGACAAAAGCGCAAATCCAGAACAAAGTTAGGGACTGGAATAGTATTTTACACTTCTATCTCCCAAGTGCCAAACCTTTGTTAAGGGTTTAAACAGCATTGCACCTCCAATTCTTGGAGCAGCAGCAGCAGATACACACAGAAATTCAATTCAATTCACAATTTTTTTCATAAAAAAAAAAAAATCAATTTTTGTTTCTAATTATAATTTATTCAATTTTGAAAATGCCTTCAAAGAAGAAGAATCAAAAATCAGCATCAAGACTTTCACAATCAGAAGTTACTTCTACTACTACTCCATCAGTTTCATCGGACGGTGAAGAATTCAGTGAAGAAGAGATTAGAAGGTTCCGTCTTGAAGAAGCTTCTAGAAAGTTCCCGTCTTTGATTTCGAAAACAGCTTTCATTGGCCGAATTTCGGAAGATGCTGTTGAAACTGTGGATACGAAAGGGTGTAAGATTTGGCTTTCCGAATCTTCCATGCTTTCTTCTTCTATTTCCCCTGGCTCCATTGTATCGGTAAAATTTGTTTTTTTTTTTCATCTCTATTGTTCTAATTCAAAAATATTGCCTTTTTCCCGTCTAAAATATGCATATGAATTTCTCTCTGTGTGTGTGTGTGTGTCTTGTGTGTGTATGTGTGTGTGTATGCGCGTGTTTGTGTTGTGTGTGTATGCGCGTCTTTGTGTTGTGTGTGTGTGTGTGCGCGCGTTTGTGTGTTTTGTGATATAAAGAATTCTTGTTGTGCCTGAATTTGGTTAATAGACTTTAATTTGTTTGTAAGTAATTTGAGTTCTATATTTTTCCTTAGTTTATGACTTAAGCTCGACTTAGAACTTATATGAGCCTCTTTCAACAGAAAGAATATGTTCATGAGAACAATTAAAAAAGAGCTGCATTCATTATTCCTTTCACATCTGTCTAAGGAATTATCTTACAGAAGATGTTGGCCATGTGACACCATATTACAAACATCATGAAAGTCCAAACCACAACTTTGCTGACGAAGCAGCTTCTGATATGGATCGCGTGAATAAGGGAAAAATGAGGCAGTAAAAGTTTTTAAAAGTGTGTATTAACATAAATTTTAAGGAAATATTTCTTATAAAAAATTAGATATTTGAGCTGGTTTGTGATTTGGGAAAGCGGCGTTGTCAAGGGATGTGCTTTTCGGGTGCTATGCACATGTTTTTGTTAGTAGATTTATGGATGTGCTGCATAAGTTCATTTTAAGTGCGTGTAATCAATTTTCAGCAATACTATGGAGTTAAAACATTTATTGGTTTCATAGAGTTTGATCTTATTTTACTTTCCAATGTTAACAGGTGTCCCTTGCTTCTTCGAGGAAAAATGCGAGTAACTTCCTGCTTAGCTCATTAGTAGATGAGTGTACAAGGCATTTTGGGCTTGAGGATACAGAAAACGTGGCTCATGAAACAGGAAACTTCTTTGCTCTTGCGACTGTTTTCCCTTCTTGTAAGGTTTGGATGCAAATATTTGTTTCGTTCTTCCATTTTCTCTACTGTCCAGTCTCTGTTACTTAGTTTGGCAAATAAGCATATGAACCTGGAGATTGTTTAAGTGTTTATTTTATCCTGAACTTGAAATGAAAACACAGCGATGCTCCAGAGCGATTATTAGGCTTCATGAAATAGTTATAATATTTTTCCTGAACCTGATGTTAGCTTATAATATTTGTTGAATCTGAGTATTATTTTAAATACTTATTCTTTCGAAAGTATTTAAAGAGAGGTTCTGTTGGATTCTAACACCAAATGACAGAATTTTCACTGTCTTGACATTGATCTCTTTGCAGGTTTTAAAAGATGGAGCACGATTATCTTCAAGCCTCTCATGGAGTATGGGTTCTCCTGCCTCAGGTAGAATCATTTTTGTTCATCCTATCGGGGATCATACCATAAGGAGTATTGCAAATGGAAGCAATCGACTGTCCAATGAAAAAGTTAGTTCCCTTTCCGTTAGTAAATGCGAGGAACTATCTTTGTTGCTGGTATCTCGTAATGGAAAATCTGTGATAAACAGCTCCATATCCCCTCGATATTCAACCACTGAAACAATAAATGGTCGAGCTGAGTCTATGAGGGTTTCATCTCCAAGGACTCCATTACACTCTCATTCTAGACTTAATTCTCCTGGCACCAGGGAGTTCAATACGCCCAAGGATCAAGAATCAGTGTCAATTTCTTCTGATGTAGGTGGCACGTCTAGCAACATATTCAATATAAGAGAAGTTTTGGTAGATGAGCATTCAAAGAAACTTGTACAAACCTGTACAGCTTCGTGGTTGTATTCTCGTATTTTACTCTCTGGAAATCTTGTGATTGTCCCACTGCTTTCAAGGCTGTGTTTTTTCCAAGTTACAGGTGCTTCTCCTCAACAGAGTTTGGGGGAGTATGTGAATGTTGCTTTCTCTGTAGATCACAAAACAAAAGTAGTTCTACATTTACCCCAGAATACTGATATGGGAACTCCCATTAGAAGATTATCACCGTCAGAGCTTCAACATAGAAATATCAACAGTAAGGATGGAGTTGACTACCCAAAATTGGGTGGTCTTTCTGAAGAATTTGCAGTTCTAATGGACATAATAATATCATCAGCTGTGAAAGGTACTATGGCTAGGTATGCTCTCTTTCTAATGTAAATGTCAGGTTTTTCTTTAGAAGGATATAACTTTGGTTAATGGCATTTGGACTCAGAACCTATATATATGCAATTTTTCCCTTAAAAAGTGGTTTCGATTTACATAAAATTTCTGTGCTGAAATATTCTCCTTTTTACGATAATGGGTTTTAAATTTTTCTTTGTGCAGTATGACAAATGTTCACTTATTTGGTGGAATTTTTTTGTTTCAACTAGTCCCTTTTTTCAGCTTGATATACAGTTACTGTGAGATTTACCGTTGTTGCAGCACATTGATAATAACATGAATATATTTTCAAATTTCCTGCCAGAAATTGAATAAGCAGCTTTCCGCTTTTCCTTTCTGTTTTGGGGGAAGAGTAATTTGTTCTCTAGGAAAATCGTTGGAATTTCTGAAAGCAAATGCATATCTCTGATGCAGGACCACTGCTATTGAGCTTCCTTACTACACCAATATAACAAAATCATTCTATGTAGAAAATGTCCATGTCGTATTGCTTTTCTATCATATGCTGATGTTCAGTTGTCAATATTTCAGCATGGGTTTACGGCCTACAAAGGGAGTACTTCTTCATGGCCCACCTGGAACTGGAAAGACTGCTTTAGCGCGATTATGTGCTCATGAAGCTGGTGTAAACCTATTCTCCGTCAATGGGCCTGAAGTAATTAGTCAATATTATGGCGAAAGTGAACGGGCATTGAACGAGGTCTTTGATTCAGCGAGTCAAGCAGCTCCTGCCGTGGTTTACTTTCTCACTTTTTACAGTTCAGATATCTTCTGTTTAAATAGTAAATTTGCTTGAGTTCGATTGTCACAATAGCTGAAATAGAAGTCTCACTGCTTAAAGTGTCTTAATGTGTAATGCCAACAAAATGGAAAATAGAACTTCAGTAGTAGGAAGTCACAACGAGATATCAATTCTTGTGATCTCAAGGAAAGAATCTTTTTGAAATGTATTCTTAAAAAAACAATCTTTTTGAAATGTATGAATTATAGATGAGAAACAATGAGAAGTCCATTTAAAAGTTTTGGTGGTTCCTTTTATTACTGCGCATCAGTTTTGAAGGTACTACGTTTTAGTCCTGAGCCATGAATCTTATATCTAGTTTAGATCTTCCTGTTAGAAATGCATTGCACCATGGTAGTTCATGAAGCTGTAACTCTAGATTATATCTCGTTCATAAATTATGATAGGCTATATATGGAATCGTCAGTGCTACAGCAGAATCTCTAAGCTAACATTTGAGCTCTGCAAGCTAGTATTATGGTTTGCTTCCTTCAGCTGAATGGACTTTTTTTCCTGATAGAAACAACTCGTGGATTTCCTAAAGCAATATTCTTTTTTGAATAGGTAAAAGCAAATTGGTAATAGATGGAAAGCAGTGTTACAAGAAAAGATTTTAAACGGAATTAAAAAATGGAAGCAGTGTCCCATCATTGTCAAGTTATGTTGCATGGACTTCTCATTATCCTTCAAGATACACAATATGTAGAGATTATTGATTTTCTTTGAGAAGGTACCATAGAGATTATTGAATGTTGCTGTGTCAGATTCGTTCTAGGTGTCCACATAGGACACCATTAAGTTATTCTTGGATACTTGCTATATGATGTTTGATTACTGCGGGTATTGGACTCTAGTACAGAAGATAGGAGTTGCTCTATTGCCTCAGATTAGGGGTGATCATAAAAACCCGAAAAACCAAACCAAACCGAAAACCGAACCAAACCGACCAAAAAAACCAATACTTTTTAAGTTTGGTTTGGTTTTGTAAAAAACCGATCAAATTTGGTTTGATTTTGGTTTTAATAAAAAAATAACTGAAAAAACCCGAACCAAACCGATTATAGAAGTAGCTATTTAAATTTATTATTACACCTATATATATGTGTAGACAATATTGCGTCAAGAAAATAATTGAGACCGAAAAATAATGCAACAATCGTAGTATTTAATTTCAAATAATATGAGTGTACAATCTCTATGGATCCTCTGATTCTTCTTTCCAATAGTAAATAAATTCAAAGGCCTTTGAGCTTGATCTTGAATATGTAGTTGTTGCCACGAATGATGATCTTGAATTCAACTAGCACGAACTTTGATTTGAACTCGTACTCCTTGAATCTGGATTTGTTCTTCGTTCTTGAGCTTGAACTTGATTTCTTGAACTTGAACTTGATTGCTTGAAGCTTGAAACTTGTAGAGAAATTTGCGGCGTTTGATCCACGAGCTCTCTCTTGCTTCTTGTTATAACTTCTGGTGTCTTTTCTGAATTATGAAAACCCCTATTTATAGTTGTGGGAGGGAAGAGTTATGATAAGAACAAACTCTTTCCGACCAATCAGATTGAAGAGTGACAATGCCGCATTTGATTGGCCAGAACATGTCATTTGCACATGTGGCACGGTTTCATTGGCCTTTTAATTTGACTTGACATGCCTTGTCATTTTGACGCGTGGCATGATCCTATTGGCTATTTTGTTTGATTTGGCGTGCTATGTCATTTGATACGTGGCACCGAATTGGGCCTCTGGGAAGATGAGATCTTGGGCTTAGTGAAGTGAGCTCATCACTTTTAGCCCAATTAAATGGGCTAGCCCAATAGATTTGGACCTATTTATTTAACCCATATGTATTGGACTTATATAATTAATTCAATTATATTCCCATAATATTTATTTGGCCTAATATATCTTTCATTTAAAATATGATCCATGTTATTTTATTGGATTTATGTCCGATAAAATTTATATGCCTACAATATATATATTTTTATATAAAGTTTCTAAATGTTATAGTACATATTAGTCGTTTGTATTTTTAGTCTAGTTCTTTGCTATTACAATAATCTAATTTTTTGCCTTTACATTCTAGTTTGATTGGTAGTTTTCTTTTGCTAAGTACAAGAATTTATCTCATGTTAAAAATAATTGATTTTTCATTGATTACTTAAATTATTCATCACTATTTGATTCAATTATCATTAATATATCTTGGTAAATGATAGATTTCTCAAAGAGCAATTGGTTTGATAGTGTTAACGTTGAAAATGTAGTCGCCGGAATATGTGTTTCATAATGTATGTCTCATATTTAAGAAAAAAATCGATAAATAACCGAAAGTACCGAAAAACCGATAAAAATCGACAAAAACCGAATCGATAAAAAACCGACTTAATTGGTTTGGTTTGGTTCCAGCATTTTTAAGAACCGACTAACTTGGTTTGTTTTTTTTTTTAGGAAAAAACCGATCCAAACCGAACCATGAACACCCCTATCTCAGATAGTAAACTGTGCAGATGGAAAAATGGATAACGGTGTCTGAGATTGGCATAGCCTAGTATGTCTAAACTATGGGATTGACACTAAATTTAGTTAACCAACCTTATTTTTTTCTTTGGCCGTATAAAAAGTCAATTTGATATCTGTATCTTTGCTGTAATACAAATCTTGGTCATGGTTTCTGCAATATATAAGCTTTCTGATATCAAGTGTCAATTGATTAACTTTTCCATAACCCAGAGCCATTTTCATTTACAGGTCTTCATTGATGAGTTGGATGCCATTGCGCCTGCTCGTAAAGATGCAGGTGAAGAGCTTTCCCAAAGAATGGTAGCTACATTGTTAAACTTGATGGATGGAATAAGAAGAGCTGATGGAGTACTTGTTATTGCTGCAACCAATCGACCTGACAGTGTTGAACCAGCTCTTAGACGACCTGGAAGACTTGACAGGGAAATTGAAATAGGTCACTACAAAATCTCCTTATAAATTATTGTTATGGGACCTAATCATTTTCACAAATGGACTAGACATTAAATTATGAAAACCTTAAAGTCTAGATTCTAGACGTGCTTATACCAAAGTCGCCATATTGGTTTTACATGACTATTTGTTGGTTCTTCCCGTCTTTCTTCTCCTTGACAAATATTACCAAGTCTTTGGGTGGGGATGATTCCAGGAGCTGAGCTTGATGTATGTTTGCAGGTACCTCCATTAAATGATCCTATTTGAGATTAAGCATAAAGTCTAAATTGTGCATGTAGCTAGGTCGAGATGTTGAAAATAATAGTTTAAACAGTTAAAAGCAAGTGAGATCTCATATCACAGAGAAAGTGATCTAGTGTAATTCCATGTTGATTTGAGTTTCCAGAAGTGGAAACTTTGCTACTGAAGGAAATGGGGTCAATAAAATTGTACTGTGCCTAAAAAAGAAGCTAAGTCTATTAGACTCGGAGAGAATAAAGATTTTGCTGATTGTGTCTTCTTCTAGTGGGGAGTTCTTGGAGGCAGGAAGCCGAGGGTCTATTGGAAACAGCCTCTCTACCTCAGGGTAGGGGTAAGGTCTGCGTACACACTACCCTCCCCAGACCCCACTAGTGGGATTATACTGGGTTGTTGTTGTTGTTGTTGTTGTTGTTGTTGTTGTTGTCTTCTTCTAGTGTAGTCTAGGCTTCTTGCCTCTTATATTTTTGCTCTTCGATATCTACTGGAAATTGTTGGACGCTCTTAGAATTATTTAATCTTCTTTCTCAAGTTCCTAAGAAAGGAGGTTTACTTCCTCCCCACCCCTCATCCCCACTAGAGAAACAATAAAAGAAAAAGAACGAGAGACAGAGACAAGGAAACTCTTGCGAATGCTCATGATATGTTTTTTTCCTATTGTGGTACATTACGTGTCAATTCTTCTTCTCCTATTGTAGTATCTCGTCTCTGTACAGGATCTGACTTTTCCTGTATCAATTTGTTGTTTTGCTTCTTTTCGTACTGATAGTGAGATATTCTTTTTAATGGAATGCCTTCCCTGCCCTTGTACAACTTATTTGTTGGTTCCTATTTTCATTTTCAACATTGTGATGGTAATTGAACGCAATTAAGGAGTTCCTACATGTAATATTGAATGAGGTCAAGACATTTCGATGCTAAAATTCTGTCACTTCATCCACCAGTCATTGCTGCTGTTACTCTTCATATTCTTGCTGCGAGTCGGCTGAGCATAGTCAGTATTTTTTTGCGTTAGCTATCATGTTTTTGATGTGATATATGACCCTTTCTCATTTCATGGAAAAATATGTTTAGGCGTACCGTCTGCCAGACAACGGTATGAAATACTACATACACTGATGAGTGAAATGGAACATGCTCTTCTGGAAAAGGATGTTCAAGACCTTGCAACAGCTACGCATGGTTTTGTGGGCGCTGATCTAGCTGCTCTGTGCAACGAAGCAGCTTTGCATTGTCTTCGTGAACATGTTGAGTCAAAGACATGCTTTGGCAATACTCATAGTAAACCTTCAATTCCAGCATTTGATGGACGCCTTGGCAGGAATGGTACCCATTGCTTGCGAGATAATAAAGACCTCTCTTCTGACTGTGATTTCGAGGGTGCATCTTCATCTATTTCAGAAGCATGTATCTCATCAGATATTCCTAGAGACTTTACTTGCATGGAACAAACAGACACTCTTAGGATCACTTATAAGGATTTTGAAAAGGCTAGAATGAAAATAAGGCCAAGTGCCATGAGAGAGGTATGTTTTACGTGTTTAGAGTTTTTTTTTGTTAAACATAGTTATTAAGTTTGGTGATGCTTTCTATGTTGATGTGCTTTTCATATTCAGATATTTGTATGATTACAAGTTTCAGAAAACAGGCTATTTTTCTATTGGTTTTTGGCCATCGAGCTAGCAGTTCTGGGATTGAACCCAGTCAAATTGCATTCATGAGTTGGTTTTTGCAAAGGGTCAACTTTTAACTTGTCTTTGATTAATTTAGTGCAGTAGGGTTATGATGTAAGTTTTGGTCATGGATGCTCACATCCTGTAATTAAGTTTATTCTGTATATACTTTGCAATTGATCATCATTACCTGCTTTTCCACTTGAACTTCATGCTGCCTGTTATTTCAACAAATTTGCTTAAGGACCATTTGTAGACATCTGGAATTGCAGTCTGCCCTGTACTGACTTGGTTCCTCTTAATATCAGGTTATACTTGAGGTTCCAAAGGTAAGCTGGAATGATGTTGGAGGACAGAGGGAGGTGAAGATGCAGCTCATAGAAGCTGTTGAATGGCCTCAGAAACACCAGGAGGCTTTCAAGCGCATTGGCACTCGTCCCCCTACTGGAGTTTTGATGTTCGGTCCTCCAGGATGCAGCAAAACATTGTTAGCTCGTGCAGTTGCTTCCGAAGCAGGGTTGAACTTTCTTGCAGTGAAGGGCCCTGAGCTTTACAGTAAATGGGTGGGGGAATCAGAAAAAGCTGTCAGGACTTTATTTGCAAAGGCTAGGGCAAATGCTCCCTCAATTATATTTTTTGATGAAATAGATGGCCTTGCTGTTGTACGTGGCAAAGAAAGTGATGGGGTTTCTGTGGCAGACCGGGTCATGAGTCAACTTCTTATTGAATTAGATGGTGAGTGTTCCACATTTAAAGGACTTCTCAGCTGTCAACACTTGAACTATATTGAAGAGCATTAGTGGGTGATCTTGTTTGTTTAGGTCAGCAAGTTTAGTTGGTGGTCATTTGACTAAGCAGAATTTGAAATGAAACCAGATTACCATTCTACCAAAGTTCCCACTTCAAAATTTAAAGAGACGTAACTACTTTTTTCATGGGGTGGGGAAATAACTTCTAAGATTAATGAATCAAGATGAACGTCATATACTAGGCAATCTATGTTTTTCATTGGGTTAGGAAAGAATTTCTAAGTAATGAATCAAGATCAATGCCATATACTAGACACTGCCTCCTCTCTTTGTGCCTTTTTCCTTTGCTGTGCTAGTTCCGATGTTAAAAAAATCAGGTACTTTTGGGTTGGGTATGAATGACCTGTTTAGGGTGGTGAGGTTCAGGAGGGTTGAAGCTGAGGTTGCAGTGCCAAGACACAGACATGTTACATGAACTTTTCAAGCATCACATAGGAGTATGTATTCGGGATGCATACGTTCAGGTTTTAGAAGGCTTTTCAGTGATTTTTGAAGTCTGCATGAAGTAACTACGCCCATGTCATTCACTTTTAACATGGTAGAGTGTATAAGTTTTTCTTCTTTTTTATCAGTGAGTCAATGCCATTATTTGTTCTCGTCGGAAGCAGGTGCCTAAGGATGTCTTTTAATAGCTGGAGGAGTAATATAGTGCGGAGGGCTGCAAGAGTGATTTGGTCCTTGAGACGTATTTTCTTGAATATCTTGTTGTTTAAAATCATTCCTAAGCATGTATAACATGAGATTCTTATCTCCATATTAAACTTGAGGTACTAACGGGTAGCTGGGGGAAGAGAAAGGCACTGACATTCCATTATATGATTTTCTTTTTCTTGACTAAAAATTCAATTCCTTTAATACAAATGCCAACATTGCCCGTAATCTATGGCTTAGTTGAATTGGTAGAAATAGGATTCTAACGTGGCAAAGCAGTTCAAAATTGTCTCAGTTTTTTTTTTATGTATGAGGAACTCTTGATTGTCAAAGTTTCTATTCGTTTTAAGCTGGAATTTTACTTTTCTTTTGTTAAAGGTTTGCACCAGAGAGTTAATGTCACTGTTATTGCTGCAACAAATCGGCCAGACAAGATTGACCCTGCTCTTCTAAGACCAGGTGAAATCCTCTGTTCTGCTACTACCTTTCATGTTGAATTCTGCTACTACTACCAATACCTTGTTTGCTGCTTGTGCTGCAATTTTTGTTAGGACGCTTTGATCGATTGCTGTATGTCGGACCTCCAGATAAAAAAGACAGGGAGGCAATATTCCACATACATTTGCAGAAGATGCCATGCAGTTCTGACATATGCATTAAAGACCTAGCTCGGCTAACGAGCGGCTGTACTGGTGCTGACATATCTATGATATGTCGTGAAGCAGCTATTGCAGCAATTGAAGTAAATTTACTCTTTTGTGGCTGTGTCTATACATCTTCCCACCCTCTCTTTCTGTTTATGCATATTTTCGTCTGTACTAACTTTTTTGGTATCAGGAAAGCCTTGATGCCTCTGAAATAACAATGAAACATCTGAAGGCCGCCATTAGACAAGTGCCTCCATCTGAAGTTCATTCATACCAAGAATTATCAAATAGGTTTCAGAGGCTTGTGCACTCAAACTCTGTGAAAGACGATTAGTGTCACCAATGATTGCTAATACAGATCACGTCGAATTCCATGCTGGTATATTCTCGTCCATTGTCCTCCTTTTCCTTGGTTTAGTAATTTGTATCCACCACTATTGTTTTCCTTAAATGGCACTGGTTGAGTAATAATGGCTTGTGCTTGCATGGCATTATATTGAATTTGCCTTCGTATTACCTACTTAGCTTACACCTATTATTGGCAAAATACATAAATAGCCCCTTTAAGCTGTCCTCAACTACCAAGCCAACACCTTAACTGAGCCCATTTTCAGTTAGACACCTCTACTTGGTAAAAGTGTGCCTGGTAGATACCTAAGGATGACATGGCAGATCAAGTGTGTTTCACCTAAAGTTGAGCGCGTGAGCTTATTATGTTTTTCTGTCCTCTTTTTTCTTTCAGATTAAACTTAATTTTTATGTGGGTCCCACTATAATTTTTTACTTTCGGCCACGTTAATTTCACTTTCTTCACCGAAGAATTCATCTCAACCATAATTTTTATGTGGATCCCACTGCCTTTTTAATTTTTCCCACATTAATTCCATTTTACTCCCAAAATAATTCATCTCCATCACCAAATTTTCTTGACCTAAACACGGGAATATCAGTAGCTCTTTCACGGCTCCACCTTCCGCCATTAATTCACCTCTTCTCCTTCAATCTTAAAAAAAATCAGTAACAGCCACCACTCTATAACAATGCCATTGATCATGCATAAAAGTTCAATCGCATTTCTGGCAATCGACCTTCTCCAATTCCCTTTTGAGGCTATAATTTGAAAATTTTCATGGTCCAATTAACTTGTCTTTTAGCAACTGGTAGCGAAGCTCCACTTGTTTTGTTCGGTGTCATCTGCCGCCGCATGGTAAGAAATGAAGCACAATAATGTTATCCATAATGGGCACTTAAAGAAGCACTGGCAAAATTATGTGAAAACCTGATTCAACCTACCAACAACGCAAATAATTATGTAATTAAGCTATCTTCTAGACTAAAAGATTGAGTATTTTGTTATATGTGGTTGGTGGGGAAGAAGAGTTGAATAAGGAAAAAGGGGAAGCACTATAGAAGGGGAGAGGGGTCATCGGAGAAGAAAGAAAGAAGTAGGGTACTGGTGGTGGCTGATTTGTAATTTACTAGTTTATTAGGTTTTCTGATTTTTTATTAATCATCATGCTATATTATAAGTAGGAAGACCCAAAGTGAAAGCTGAATTACCAAATTGTCCTTTAAAAGTAAAATGACTTTCTTTACCCTTCAAGCAAATACTACTAAAGTAAAAAGAATTGTGTAAAAATGGAATTACACATTCTAATAAAGTTTTAAAAAAGTTGGAGAATGTAAAGAGTTGCATTGAGTAACTCAATAATAGGCTGAATTCATTTGGCTAATTTAATATAAGCCAAATTCATCTACCGAATGCAAATGATCAACAAATAATGAATTATTCATTTAATATATACAAAGTTTAGTTTGTTTTGATTTATGGCATCCTACTTTTATTATGCTCTTTAAATCACACTAAATAGCAAGGACACTTATTTATTCTTCCGTTTAAAAACTTAGGAAGACACCTTCTGAATTGACTCATCTTGATAACCTTTCACATCATAGCTTTACCTCTTATTTCTGGGCAAAAGCTTATATCCATTCTTTTTTCTATGTAAGTTTAGTACTCAAGAATTTATATTTTCGTATCTGAATTCATCTACCGATATAACTTTACTTTCTATTCTACGATAAAAACTAAATTATCCCCACTTTGTCTTTTTATATATTCACGTTGATTACTCAAAATTTTATATTTTTTGATTTGGGTTCATTTAAAATATCGATATCTTAAACCCCAATTTGTGATTTTTGTTGCAGGTGTAAGATAGATGCTAAAATTTTGCCTAACAGAGTTGTGGATGCAGCAAGTGAAGCAATTGAGTGCAAGTGGTTAGTTTCTCCTCAGGTAATGAATAAATATCTCTGACACACAAAGATATAAATTTATGTTGAGTGGATGTGTAATCCTTAATCATTTTGTTCTTTGATTTCTTAATTTTTTTTTGTTTAAAAAAGCTTCACGAAAGCTTGTATTCGTATGATTACGATATTCTTGTAATCGCCAATTGCATTTTTATATTTTTTACAATTAAATTGAGATATTTGCTTTGAGCGGTTCTTTTGTATTTGCTTCTTTGCTATTATATTTATGGACTATCTGAAATAAAGGAACCTTGACATCTAAGGTATCCAAGGACTTATGGGGTAAGATTTCTTCTTTTATGGAATTAGCTAAGTAGAATCATCATTTATTATTTCGGAATTTACAATTAAATTTCATTTTATAACTAAAAATATTTTAATAGTAATATTTATGTTATTTTTAAAGTCTAATACTCATTAGGGGTACACGCGCGTTGCGCGTGCCCACAAACTAGTTTTATTTTAATTGTTTAGCCACGTGTCAAATACTAATTGGTTCTTAGAATTTTTTGGAATGTGTATCACAGGCGATGTGGGCTGACTAGGTCGGGTATTTACTTGATACACTTGATAGCCACTTGAAGTGTTAACTGAAAATGAGCTCAGTTGAGGTGTTTGTCTGATATTTGAGGACAAACTTAAAGGGGCTATTTATGTATTTCGCCCCTATTATTTTATAACTTTTTTACACAATTGTGGAAGTATGTATCAAACTGCAGTTGGATATAAGTTTAGTTCCTATCAACTGTGTTCAGAATAAAGCCATTTAAAAGTTGGGGAAACTGAAGTTAGAATAAATACCTTCTGGTGCAGAGGAAGCTAAATTTATCTATATAGTACTCCCTCCGGTCCACAATAAGTGACTTTTTGGCCTTTTTATTTTGGTTCAGAATAAGTGTCCTTTTTACATAATCAAGAATGAATTAACTGTAGTTTTTCAAATTTGCCCTTATTTACATATTCCAATGTGTCAAGTTAACAATATACAAATTTTAATTAAGGGTAATATATAGTCAAGATACTTATTTTTTTTCTAGGAGTTATTATTTTCTTAAGGGGTATGCCAAAGGCCAAAAAGTCACTTATTGTGGACCGGAGGGAGCAGTGTATTATATAGATCTTACAGGGGATTCTACAGGGGGATGCAAATTTCCCCTCTGATGTACCTATTTTATCAGTTTAGTTTGTTAATTTATTCAATCCCCTTTAACCAAAAAAAAGTTGTTCTTATGAACCTTTAGTAGCTTTTTACTTCTTGGTAGAAGATTTGATATATAAGGCTGCTAGTTCAAGGAGGGGTTTCAAACTTGGATGTATTTTAACGTAGTTCTCTGACATCCAATGGGAAGATCGAGGGGGAGGGGGACTAGGCACGGGAAAACTGTAAACTAAATCAGTTTTGTTTTTCACTTATAATTTAGAAAGTAGTCTAATATGATAAAAAGAAAAAACACATCTTATTAGATCAGGAATATAATGTATCCACATCTACATTCTGTTCCATGTACTTCTCAAACCTGCAAACGAAGTGCTTTTTGACCAAAAGATGCTTCAAATTTAGAATGTTGAAAACTATCTGATTCAACCATAAATCAGTGAGGCAAAATCCTAAGGATAGAAGCGACCTGATTAAATACTAACACTTCTGATTGTGGATGCAAAATCTTTAATAAATATGTTAATTATATTTCTGTCGTCTAAGTATTAGATTGTAACTGATTGATTCCCAAAAGCTGATTTGTTAAAAGTTGCTTCAACCAGCAGACATTAGACTCTTCTTTTTGTTTGCAGCATGGCTCTCTTGGAATGGGAACACTTGATGTCACAATGCTAGATTTCTAATCTTAAATTGAGGATACGTTGATATTGATTAAAATATATCATCAAGCAATGCATGTTAAGATGTTTAAGTATGTTATATATGTATTTTAGTTTAGTAACGTTCGTATCGCCTAAGTTGCCCCGACACGGCAGTTTATGTGCCACACCCGTATCGACACGACACTAGTATGAGTGAGGATATGGGATCCGTACTGGATTTGGTCAAACAATTTTGGGTACTTTGACCACGACAGATGGAAAAATTCGAGACAAGATACAGTTTGATTTCCGAATTAGAACCAATACTAGGGTAAAATTGAAGAAAATAGCACATCTTATCTAGGAAATCAATCCTTTATTTATCTACAACTTGAGAATAAAAAAGAATTCCACACTTTACAAGATATATGTAAATATTCCTCAAAACTTCTCATAATTTAGAGATATTTTTATATTTTTATTTTTTTGAATTATTTTTAGCCGGATCCCCGCACCTGCACCCGTACTAGGATCCATATCCTTGAACCTTAGAATTTACATCTCGAAGTGCCCGACTTCTAGATCCGCACCCGTGTCGGACACCCGCACCCTTGTCCGAGCAACTTAGCGTATCGCACAAAATCACTACATATTATAGGAAGCACAGGTAGAAGCAGAAGTATCTTTCTCTTTCACTACAATAGGCCCTTGTCGCGCATAGCGGGAGCTTACTGCATCGGGCTGCCCTTTTTTATTTTTATATTATTTGTCAAGTCAATATGGTGCATTGAGGTTGCTAATTTGCTTCTGACTGTTTTCTCGAGAATGTCTCCTTGTATGAGTTCCTAGAAATCTTCCTTATTCCAACTTGTTTAGCAAATTCATATATCTTCATGAAAGTAAGCATGGACATAAAGTTTCTCCCTTGAAGTGCGACCTTTAACCAATTGTGGTATTTCTTTTATCACAGCCATCTAGATTATGATTGGAGTCTTTGCACAGATGGATGCTGTTGCCATTGTTTACATATGCTGCCTTTCACGAATCTGCATCCCATTTTAGCTCCAGAAATATACAGCAGGAAGAACTTGACATATTTGGAATTGATCTCCAAAAGTTGTTGATTTAGATGCATCAAAGGAGAGTCCTTTCTGTATAGTGAAGGTCATGAACATCTGGTTGCAGAAGCCATGAATAGCAAGCCAGAATGAGTTGTTTCGGTCACTACAGCGAGGGCAATGTTTCAGGAATTGATATTTCAGTCTGATCCTTCAACAGATCGTTTGCATTCAAGGCTTCCATGCTCATGAAATGTTTGATGTGATGCTGGTATTAAGTAGATAGAGAGGGAGCTCTCCACCATTGGTATACTTCTGGGGTTTGACAAGAAAACCAGATATCTGCAGCATATAAAATGCGGTTTCATTCATTCATTCATGATATCTTGTGTATTATGCATAAACATTTCTTGTAAGCTATATAGAACCAAAAGTGGGTTTACACTAATATTCCGTTTGATTGGTGATGTCTTTCGCATCCTTTATATGCAAGCCAAGTCACAGATTAGGTAATGTTGAATGGTGATGTTTTCACTAGTGGATTGTCCAATTTGGAAGCAGGTATCTTAAAAAGATGTTGCTAGTGACCATTTCGCATTGCACATAGCGGCATAATCCTTGTTATTATTATAGATATTTGCAATAAAGTAAGTGTATTACATATACTTAAAATGGGGTCAGCTTTCCACTTTCCTTTTCTTTCATTCGACTTCATCTTGTTCTCTCTCTCCTTTATTTTTGGGGAAAGTGTTTCCCTCTTTCCGCTTCATAATTTTTATATCCTCTCTCCAATCATAATTCCTGTACAATCTCATCTATGTTTCTGTAACAATGTACAAAGAGTGTTTTTAAAAAGAGAATCTTTGTGACCTTTGACTTGAGCTGTAAAAGCACCTTTCATGGCCATCTGATCAGTTCAGTGGTTTGGGTCGTGATATATAAGCATAAATAATAAAGTTGATGTCGGATTAAATGATAACTTAAGAAACCACTGAAAATTAACTAGTACATTATTATCTAAGTTATCTTAAGCATTTTCAAACTTTGAAACAAATGTTACCTTAATGTTTTAAAGATTAATTATAGTCAGATGACTTTATACTAATAATTGAGCTATCATAATTTTTTTCTTTTATTCAAACTTATAGCCGACAAAGCCAGATCAATACTTTGTAAAATCACATTAAGATCTCATGTACTCTCCATCTCTAGAGACTCTTTTGCTAAGCAACCAAAACACAAGGAACCTTAAATCCCGCAAAAATAACATCACATTAGTTAAAAATTTGCTTACAGATCCTGTTTCTACCAAACCATTAAACTTATCAGTGTAAACTGAGATGAAAATGCATATACTGTAGTTAAGTGTATATAAATAGCACATACTCTCGTTCCAATTTATCTGGCGGAATTTAATTCAACACAATGTTTAAAAAAGCGGACCAATAAGAAAATAGTATCTCACGTAATGTACTCCCTCCGGTCCACTTTATTTCGATTTTTGGCTTCATTTTTATGATATGTAATATTTGATTTTTCAGAAATTAACTTCTTTTTTCTAAAAGTTGCACTTGGAGTAAAGAGCTTATGATTATTTGTTATATTTTCAATGCACAAATGAAGGTTAATATAATCAATTTTATTGTTAATTAATGCTAAAAAGTGAATTTCTTAATACGTGTGAAAACAGCCAAAAAAAAATTAATTAAAATAAACGGAGGAATAATACACAAAGTTATAAGTATTTTTGCCATCACATACTCCCCCTACTAGCCACCCTATAACCCCACACCTACCCCATCTTGCTTCTCATCCACATGGCCCCTAAATTTCCACAAAATATCATAACAAAAGCATCTTGTAACAGTAACATAATATGTATATTTAAAAAGCTGAAAAGAAACAAGATCCACTTCGAACCCCTCTCCACAATCCACCCTCACTCTCCCTCAATCCTCTCCGTAATCCACATGTGCAAATTTCCAAAGTAAACCTTCATTTTCTCCCTCACCCAGAAATCAAGATTCTTCACTACAGAGGAGGAGAGAGTGAGAAAAACAAACACACATCTCATAAAAATCTCATCTTTCAATGTTTACACTTGTCTTTTTCCCACCCCCATATCTTCACATAGACTCTTTTGTCTGATTCTAGCCTGGTTTTAGATTCTTTTGTCAATCTTTAAGTTCCCATAAAGGTGAGATCTTTTTTTTCCCCTTGATGACAGTAATATTAGAGCTAATTTATGTAATCCAAGCTATCCACCAAGTTAGAGCAATCATAAAGGTGAGATCTTGACCCAAATAATTGGTTGAAAATCCAAGATTTTTGCTTTCAAGATTGGTAAGGAAAATGAGGGAAGAGGATTCAAATTGGTTTGCTAAATGGGAAGAAGAATTGCCAAAACCAGAAGAGTTAATGCCTTTATCCCAAACCCTTATATCTCCTGATCTTGCCATAGCTTTTGATATTGCAAACCCCACTAGCCCAAATAATCCTCAAAACAAGCTGCAGCAGCAGACTCAGATTCCTCAATCCTCTCAACAGCAACCCAATTCATCAGCTGAATTTGAGTCCGCTGAATTGAATGGATTAGGAGGTGGTGGAGATGAACCAGCTAGGACATTAAAAAGGCCTAGGCTTGTGTGGACCCCACAGTTACACAAGAGGTTTGTGGATGCAGTTGCTCATTTGGGGATCAAGAATGCTGTCCCAAAGACTATAATGCAACTGATGAGTGTCGATGGCCTAACGCGCGAAAATGTTGCTAGTCATTTGCAAAAATACAGGCTTTATTTGAAAAGAATGCAAGGTCTTTCTAATGGTGGTAGTGGTGGAAACAGTGGTCAATCTTTATCAGGGGCAGGTGTTGATTCTGCAATGGACAATTTGTTTGCTAGTTCACCTGTGCCAGCACATTTTTTGCATCCGGCCGGGAGGGGTAATCCTGACCAGTTCTTGCCATTTGTGCCAGTGACATCAATGCAGCATCATAATCATCATATGGGAGTGGTTGTTGGACACCATCATCCTCAAGTTCAACCGCAGTATAGGCAATTTGGGTCACCGGCGAATGGACATTTTGATCATCATCCATTTTTGTCTAGGCAATCACAGCAGCAGGTTCAGAGGATGGGGACATCAGTGCATAATGGTAGTCCTGTGGTGTCACCTTATGTTGATGATGTGGATTCTTCAGCCGCACCTGTCAATGGGAGGAAGGTCCTTACTTTGTTTCCAACAGGGGATGATTGATATCAGGGTAACTGTTGATTGTAAGCCTTCTGCAAATCCTGTCAATTTGACTTCTATGTATTCTAGAATTTGTGTTGAATAACATTTGGTCTTTGTTTTAGTACCTTTTATTGGACTAATGTTGTTTTAGTGTAAATGTCTACATGGAGTTGTCGGTATGGTCTTCAACTCTTCAAGTCTTCATGGAACTGTGAATCCCCTTTTCCCACTTCATTATTCTCTTAAGGTCAAACTCTGTTACTTTTCGAAGAATTAGGATTTGGTGCTTAGTATCTGTTATGAAATTGTTCAGTTAGATGAGTTCGACTATTGTAATTATGTTGTGATAGCACTGTGTTTTCTATTGTCAGCTTCATTTAGCATTCTTTCTATCCTGCTATCAGCTACTAGTTATGGATGTTGAACGTAATGTCACTTTGGGCGCATTTATGTCATAATCTGACTCGGAATCAGCAACAATATTCTCTAAGTATATGGATCAATTTGGACAAGGGTTCTCTATTAGTCTATTCCCTAGTTGAAGCGTCCGGCTTTCCTCAAATTTTCTCGTTCTTGCTGAGGTAACTGATATCAGTTGCAGCCCATGACAGATTGCTAAAATTGTTCTGAGGAAATTGAATACTTAGTTGTTAGCAACAGTAATGGACAGTGATCAACTTAGTTCGTAGGCTATTTTCATGAATCTCCTGAAAAAGAAATTAGTTCTCTTGTTCCTGGTTTAGCTTAAAGGTGAGTCTGCTTCTTGTAAATTATGTGATTGGATCGAGGACTCGCAACTCTTTTTGTTAATCTTTAAAAACACTAATCATTCTGATGCCTTAGCAATGTGTTCATTTTTAATGAGCCATGATCAAATTTTGCGTCTGTGTAACTTGATTACTCCTTTATAATGCTTATTGCCTTTCAGAATTGGCGCTCCATTGAAATTAGTCGCCAGATAAAAACTGGTGAACTATCATGTATATTCCACTCTATGTTGCTTCTTTTGCTATGTATAAACAGCAAGCTGCCCCAAGTTGCCACTTCAATAATCAAGACTAAGGGATTAATTTTACACATTTCCTGAATAGTCTCTTTACTTCTGACTAAGTGAAATATTTTAGAGATACATGGCTACTGAAATTGTTGATTATCACAAAGTAGGCAAATGTTTGTATTACATTTCAGCTACCAAATATATGTAATAGAAGATATTTTCAGTCTTTCAGGACAACTAAAATCTAGTTTAGTGATGTTAATTATATGCAACAAATGAGTCAATGGCCATCCAACTTTTCTAGAGATCTTCTTTTGTCTTGTTTAACTGTCCCTTCCACTTTATTTGGCATGCTGAAGTGTGTTTGTCTCTGTTAGTTTGGGGAGATCATTTCCCCCCTTCTGAAATGCCAATATAAGTAGAGACCACCACCTTTTAGAAATCTCAGTCCTCAGTTTTCTCGCTTGAAGTGGTAGTAAACTCGTCAAGTGCAGGAGCCTAGTAATCGTCTATGTTTAACGATTTACAATAGGCGAGGAAACATTTTCTTATATGGTATTAGCTCCTTTGACATCTGTTTTCCCTTCTGTGTAGAAAACCTCACCGGCATTTCCTTTTTCGTTTGTTGTCTGTCTGGTCACAAGTGATCTACCTTTTAGATGTTCTTTTTTGCTTTTGTCAAAATCCTTTCTCCCTTTTCTTCCTGCTCTTTACTCTTGGAAGTGAGTTGGAATTTCATCCTCAAAGTACGCAGGGTCCGAGGAAGGGCGCCATCCTGAGGGGGTATGATGTAGGCACCTTGGCTGATTCCACGGCTTGAATCCATGACTTAAAAGTCACACACAAAGACAACTTTGTCATTGCTCCAAGGCTCCCTTTTATTCTATTGAATGACTCCAACACTAAAATCATATTTGAATCAATCACTAAATTAATTTTGATAGATTCTTCTACTTCAGTTGCTAGTACCTCAAAGAATTATGTAAATGTTGCTGGTTAGATATTTATACAATGATGTATGACTTTTTTTTTCTTTGCCTCTCAAAACATACTGGCTTGCCCTTGTGGCTAATATTTTTTCCTTTCAACTTTAAAGTATTTTCTTACTTAGTATATGGTGCTGGCTGTATCTACAGTTTATATATAATTTGGCATTGGGATTAAGCTTTGAATTTTACTCAACATTGCTTGGTTTTCACTATCATTCAGTATAATGCCAAAAATGTACTGAAACTGATATAGAAAAAGGATGCTCAGTTTCTCTTGAAGTCTACAGAAACATCTTGTTACCTTCTTAAGTTTTACTTTACTGCAATTGTTTTTACCTTTTTTTTTCCTTCTTAGTTACAAAGGAGGGCCACTAATGATCTGGTTTAAAACAGATGATTGTTTTCCCTTTAATCCTCAGTGAAATAATTTAAAATCTTTAATAGAACATATTACAGATACATCAGTAATATTGATGGAGACAAAAAACTATTTAATATAATCTGATATAATATTCAGCTTTTGTAGCACTAAGTAAGAAAAAAGGATTTTTTTCCCGAGATGTGCAATTTTTTTTTTTTTTTTTTGCACATGCTTTATATATGCATATTTGCTTGTTTTATCATTGCTTTTGGCTCAATAATTTAAGCGGTATGTTATTTTTAAGGGAATATCATTAAATATGCAAAAGGAATGTGTAGAATATGACTTAAGGATAAAGCAAAATGATGGAAATAAAATCAAATTTCTATATTCATTAAGCATCAGTGAATTTCTAAATTTATCAAAGAAATTAACAAATCATTTATTATATAAGGGGTTACATTATAGAGGAGAAACCTTGTTTTTTTATATAAGTTATCCTCTATTGAAGGATTATAAATGAAGAGTTAATTTTTTTAAAAGAGACTTCATATGTAACTAACAAGAAAGTCCAAAAAACGAAAATGGAGAATGGGAGCAATTTTTTTTTCAAAAAAAGTGGAAAATCATCATAAATATAAGTCACATTTATTTTATTGGATGTTTGCTAAAACAGAAGTAATACAAGTACTAAACCGAGACATTTAAACACTCCAGGGACCAAAGTAAGATTTTCATACAGATCTATAAATTTATTGGTTTCAAATGCGATTTATGCAATTTATAAGGCACAGTTATTAAATGAGATTTATGCTCGTTGATAAATACGCCTTACTTTTTCTCCATTATCGATTCCCGTTTGGATCCGTATTCGTACATATAATTTTTTTAAAAACTTTTAGCTCTTCATTTCTACTTCTCTGATAGAGAATGAATTTATTTTATAAAAAAATAAGGTTTCTCCAATACAGATGTGCGTAAGAGGAATTTGGCTACAAGCTTAGGGGTTTAACAATGTATTAAGCTTATCTATTAGGGAAAAAAACATAAGTAGGCACTATTCTAGAAAATTTTACATAATCATAGAAGTATGCCATAATTAACAAAAAATGGCAGCAACTTAATGTCATTCTGGAGCCGTTAGGCATTTATTATGGCAACTAATATAGACAACACCATAATAGATTTCCTAAATCAAAGGAGGGAATCAGGTATAACAACTCCAATCTTTTCTTTCCTATTTTATAGCTCAAAATATTATCTTCCAAATATGTTTTACAAATAAAATACAATTAAGAAAAGATAATTGTATCCTAAGAATATTAACGTATAATCCCATATATTAACTTGATAATTTGATAGGATACATGTATCTTATTTTTTAGTCAATCTTGTACACTAATATATGTGATATCCCATATATATCAACATATTTTATATTTAACAGTTGCATATTAAATTATATATCATCTTGTATATTTTTAAAAAAGATATGTAAGGTATATATGTGGTATATATACATTATAAACCATTTATACATATGGTTAATGTATAATAAAATATTTTAAGGATATATATGTTATTTATACAGTATAAACCGGTGTGTTCTAATATATATATATATATATATAGTGAAGAAAATGTACGTATGTATGTGGTTTCTATATAATCTCATTAACAACAATAATATACCTTGAAATATATCAGGTATATTTAAATTGGTAAATGAATAAAAAATTGAAGTTAGTAAGAGATAACCCCGAAGTGGTTGCTAGAGAGGAGTTTTCTGTAGGTTGAAACCCTTATAGACCGAAGAAGAGTTTTATGTTTAATTAAAATCTTTGATTTGAATGTATGGTGTCAAAATTATAAATAAATAAAAATACGTGTATAAGATGAATTATGAGGTGAAATTTAGAAATTTAGAGTAGAAGGTGAGAGGAGAGAGAGTGTGAAAATAAAAATCAATTCCGTGATTTGTGCCATGTGTTGACTAATTAAATGTGCCCATAATTTTACAATATGCTAATTATGTAAAAAAATCTGCTATTTATGGAATAAACAAGAAGTGATATTATTTTCTTAAATAACTTTTAGAAAGTGCTTAGCCGGGTAGTTTTCTCTATTAAGAATAAGAATTAAAAGATCACTTGGTACCTCATCTCCTGTTGTTGACTAATAAGTTAAAATTAGTGGGAGGGCAAAGGCAAACTACCCAGGATTAATTTAAGATTAAGATAACCATTTACAGCTCATATATTCTAGCAATTGATACCTCAATTTTTATTAAAACATTAGAATCAGAAGATATATGGTACTACAAGTTGATAATAGATGGGACATGGGACAACAACATACCGAAACCTTTCCCCTTCCTCGTAGAGATATAGAGAGATAGAGAGGTTGTTTCAAATACCCCTTCGACAATAGACGGTACTTGGGAGTTATATAAAAAGCACAAACATGATACATCTCTGTATATTAGGTATAATAGTTGCATAATTGAGTGCAACAACCAAAGACAAAAGTAGCCAGAGATCAAACTAAAGTTAGACATGGAAAGAAAGATTGAGATTGTTTGTGTGGAGTTCATTAAACCTGTTTCTCGCACTCCCAGTCACCTTAAATGCTTCGAATTCTCTATTTTGGATCAACACGTACTAACCATACCTGTTCCCTTAGCTCTATTTTATCCTCCTCCTCCCCTGTATGTTGGCGAATCGCTGCGGGCAGCTAATTTATCAAGATTACTTGTATTGAAGAAATCTTTGTCTGAAACACTTGCTCGCTTTTACCCTTTTGCTGGTCGAATCAAGAACAACTCAATTGAATGCAACGACGATGTGGTGCCTTTTTACGAGGCTTTTGCTCATAATTATCAGTTGGAAGATGTTCTTAGAAAGGCTGCAGATGTCAATAAAAAGTTCCTCCCCAGTACTGTTGAAGAGGCCCGATCATTACTGCCTGATTCAGCCTTATATCCTCCCCTGCTTGTTCAAGTCACTTTTTTTGAGTGTGGAAGTATGGCTATTGGTATATGTGCTTCTCACAAAGTTGCTGATCGTGCCACATTGTGCACCCTCATCAGTGCCTGGTCAACAATTGCCCGAGGTAGCCCCGATTATCTGGTTCCCGAATTTGTTGCAGCTGCTAAATTCTTGCCACCACCAATTTCCCATGTTCCACCCAAGCCTATTATGCCTGAAGTAATAATCAAAGTCCTTTTTGATAAGCAACGTGTCACTAAAATTTTTGCCTTTGATGCTTCAACTATAACATCACTCAAGGGTAAGGCTGTCAGCGGTTCAGTACAAGCGCCTACTCGTGTTGAAGTAGTATCAGCTTTGATCTGGAAATGTGCCATGGTTGTTTCAGGGAATGAGATCAGAAGGTTATCTCAATTGGTGCACAATGTAAATATACGAAAGAGGTTAGTCCCTCCGTTACCAAACCATAGTGTAGGAAACGTTGTTGCAATTAGCACAGCATGTAAAGGTGAGAATGATGGCTCTGATTTGCTCACTTTGGTCACTTGTATAAGGAAAGCATTATCAGAAATGAGTTCAGAATTTGCGGATAAACAGAATCAACAAGAGGCAATTTTGACCATTCCCTATGTCAACGCAGAGTTTGCTGCAGCACGTTTTGGAGGCGAGATAGAGATAATACATATGAGTAGCTTGTGTGGCTACCAATTTTATGATGTTGATTTTGGCTGGGGAAGACCTTCATGGGTAAATCCAATTAAAGATATAGGCATAAATGTTGTTATATTGATGGATTCAAGAGATAGTGGTGGAGTAGACGCATGGATATGCTTGAAGGACAAAGACAGTATGACAGTTTTTGAGCATGAGCTAGAGCTGCAGCTGCTTGCATTTGGATCTGCCAAATAATTGAAGAGCTTGCTGCATCAGGTTGTTGCTTCAGTTCCTTTGTTGTTTCTTTTTATGGGTGCCATTCATATTTGTTTTTTGGGTTTTATTTTGAGTATGTTTTTTATATAATGCATGTGTAAGTGTAAGAAAGTACCGCGTTTGTGGCATAGAATTGAATGGTACTCTGATATGATTCATTCTATTGAAAGAGTCCATCACTAAAATCATATATGAATCAATGTATTGAATGAGTGTAAGAAAGTACTGCAATCTTGCTTGAAGTAGTTGTAAACTCGTCAAGTGCACGAGCCTTGTAATCGTCTATATTTAACGGTTTACAATATATGCCAGGAGATATTTTCTTATATGTTATTATAAGTGAATTGATCTACCTTTTAGATGTTTAACTGCTTGGTTTTGCCAAAATCTACTGAAAACTGATATCGAAGAAGATGCTACTCAACACTGCTTGGTTTACTCTATCATTCAGTATATTGCCAAAAATCTACTGATAACTGATATAAAAGAATGCTCAGTTTCTTTAGAAGAGTTTCTCTATAAAAACATCTTTTGAATTAGACATTGGTTCAGAATGGTAACAATATTATATATAGCCATCTTTACAATTTAAAAGAACCAAAAACATAGCTTTCTTATAACTCCTATGACAGGGATCCTATGATATCTAATAGTGAAGTAATATCCAGTACAAAATCCTGCTTACACCAAATGGTCCACCACCAACACCAACCACCAACATACTACGTACATAGTAACAAAACTAATGACATGGTTATACTAATAATCACTGTCTAGATAGGCTTCATTATCCCCATAATATCAGAACCATTATCTTCTCAGAAACACTAATATAAAATGTACTTATAATTAGATTCGACATGATCTGATCCAAGGTGATCAAATGCTGGAGATGATCAGCTGCGTCTGCCTCTGTCTCTGCCTCTACCTCTGCTAGTGCGATCCCTGTGTGGCGGCGCTTGTGCTCGAAGTACAGCAAGATAAGCCATGCTCCGTAGCCAAAAGCAGAGGCAACGAGAAACACCACAAGTACGTAGCCCAAAACTTTTGCTGCTCAATATTCATATTTTTTCTTAGCTAAAATGGGTTTAGTTACTAGTATTAGAAAATGTGTTAGCTGGTGAGAAAGATGAAAGAGAAGGGCGTAGATTTCTGCCTGTTATGTGTTTGTGAAAATGTGGAGATGAAATTTTGGGGAATATTTCGTGATGGGGTAAAAGAGAGAGATGAGAGGAAGAAAAGTGAAAGATAGAGAAAGGTGGCAAAATCAAATCCCTTGCCATGATTTTCTTCCAAAAACAGTCTAACCTTTCCCAAAAAGGTACATTTCTCCTCTTAACGTGCCGGCTTCCCCCTTCCCCTTTCTGGAAATTTTAATTAACTATTCACAAAGAAATTTTTTTGTGGCAAGGTGGGTTGCTCTGATGGTAAGCATCCTCCACTTCCCACTTTTAACCAAGAGGTTGTGAGTTCGAGTCACCTCAAGAGCAAGGTGGTGAGTTCTTGGATGAAAGGATGCCGAGAGTTTATTGGAAACAGCCTCTCTACTCCAGGGTAGGGGTAAGGTCTGCGTACACACTACCCTCCCCAGACCCCACTAGTGGGATTATACTGGGTTGTTGTTGTTGTAAAGAAATTTTTCTGGCAGCAACGTCGCGCTACTGCAAATGTACCCATTTTTACTGCTGCAGCGATTAGTCAATAGTACAATAAGGGGTCGTTTGGTACGCGGTATAAGAAGATATAATACTGGTATAAAAATTTAATACCACCTTAATAGTTTGTTTGGTTAGCAAACCTGATATAAGTTATCCCAGGATTATAATTAGTACCGGAATAACTTATACCTTGTAGAGGGTGGGGTAATTAGTGTCGGGATAACTTATATATATATATATATAAAGTTTCCATAATAATTAAGCCAAGTAGCAAGTTATTAACAAGCCACTTGGCAAGCTCAAGGAGAGTTTGTGGGGAGATTGTCAAATAAAAAATATCTGTTATGAATAATTAAAGGAATAAAGTTTCCATAATAATTAAACCAAGTGGCAAGTTATTAACAAGCTACTTTGCAAGCTTAAGTAGAGTTTGTGGGGGAGATTGTCAAATAAGAAATATCGGTTATGTATATATATGAAATCTCATTTACTATAATTAAATTTTTACTTAACAATCTTAAGGAGAATTTGTGGTGAGATAAAGGAATAAAGTTTCAACCACTAATATAAGATTTTACATAAAATATAAAAAAAATTATAAGGTAAGAAAAAAAATTAAATAATCATTAAAAATATTTTAATAACAAGAATAATAAAATCATATTAATATTAACAAATCAGGCAAACAAATATTTTATACGTAAATAAATATTTCTTATAATTAAAAAAATTTAACTTAATAAGAACAAATCTTTACCACTCGGATAAATGGCAAATGAATTACTATGCGAAAGAATATACATAAAGCATAACTAACTCGCTCTCTCCCTCTCTCTTTGTCTCTCTCTCTCTCTCTCTATATATATCTTCCAAATCATGCGCTTAAATTTAAATTTAAATAATTTATAGAGTGGATATAGATATCTATATCTATATTATATTAAAAAGAGGGTAGTCAAGATTAATATTGAGGTAAGTGGCGTACCGAAAAAAAGCCACTTAGTACTTTTAGGATAAAATCTAGAAATATTTAGACAAAATCTAATAAGAATTAAGGCGAATCAGATTTGATCAAGTTTAATTTAAAGGTATAAATCAATTAAGATTGACTCATATCTTTATTGTAAATAGATTTCAAAACTTATCAAAAATAAAAATTTATACTTTAATAATTATTTACTAACCACATGATTGTAACGACCCAACCGAAGTGGTCAGGAATGGAACTGGGTAGTGCTCGCAGGTGCGAAGAGCTTGCCCGCACCTGCGAGGTCGCAGGTGCGACGTGATGAACGCAAAAGCGAAAATGGGAAAGGGAGCTGGCTTCGCAGAAGCGGCAGTGTGCTCGAAGATACGAGTCCGCAAGCGCGAAGCCAATCATAGGAGCGGATGTTTTGGTCGCACCCGCGAAGCCGCAGGTGTGTGTAAGTTGTCGCAGGTGCGGAAAGCCTTGGCAGTGTATTAAAATCGAGAGTTCCGTGATTTTCATCATTTTGGACATTTCAAGCTCGGAATTAGGCAATTTTTGAGAGGAATTTCGAAGGGATTCTTGAGGTAAATCACTTCTGGTTATTTTTACTCAATAATAATATTTTTCCATTGATTTTTCCACCTAGATTGTGTGGTTTTGAGGTGTAATTTTGGAGTTTGAGACTAGGGATTTGGAGAGTTTAAATTGGGGATTTGAGTGACGATTTGGTGTCGAATTTTGGTAAATTTGATATGGTTGGACTCGTAGTTGAATGGGCTTCCAAATTTTGTGACCTTTGTTGGATTCCGAGGCATGTGCCTGGGGGTCGACTTTTGAGTTGACTTTTTGACTTTTGACTAAGAACTTAGTATTTTCTTATCGAATTGATTCCTTTAGCTTGTGTTGATTGTATCGAACTGTTTGTGGCTGGATTTGAGGCATTCAGAGGTCGTTTCATGAGTCAAGGGCATGTTGGAGTAGAGATTTGCACGGTTTGAGGTAAGTAAAACTTTTAAATTTGATTCTGAGGGTATGAAACCCCGAATTACGTGTTATGTGATTGGTGCTGAGGTGACGCACACGCTAGGT